CAGCCCCTCGGCCCTCAGCAGGTACGGTCTGCGCGGCGCTTGCTGGAAGGAGAGCTGAAGAGGAGGTTTATATAAATCTCTTTGTCCGAGAAACTTCTTGGGCTGCTTTTTGCTCCGGCAGACGGGTCTCGGTGTTAGCCCTGAGTCTCCCACGTCTCTTAAGCGCCATGCTTGAAGCGGGATGTCAAGCGGAATGTGCTTTGCAGGCATAGGCTTCACAAAAAGCCGTGTTATAATCCTCCCTCTTTCTCTTGCTGGTCGTTAACGTTCTAAAAGTAATTTCTGAATGCCAGTAACAGCTGAATGTTTGCTCTCGAGTGTTTAGCCACTTAAGGCTGTTGGCATTAGGAGTAATAACTCTGAGATTAATTTCCATTAGAGTTCAGCACTGCAGTTAGTGTTCATACATGCGCACTCATTAGGCGGTGTGCTGTGATTTTAGGTGAGTTCTTGTTAACCCACTTCAAACAAATCACAGCCGCTTCTGACTTCTTTTTATGTGAAAAAGCCAGGGATTACTTTATAGAAAAAGATGTTTCATTCCTGTTCTATTTTTTCCCTGTTTTGGGGGTGGGGCGGTTTTTAGCATCACACCTCTACTTCCGAGTATACTTCAGCAGCCAGCGAGGACTCTCACCTACTGTAGCTTGCGGAATGGAAAAAGGAAAACCGTGAAAGCCGTCGTCGATAGGTTTCTCCGGCTGCACAATGGTCTGTGGGTTAGGAGAAAGGTAAGACTTTTTTTTTTTTTCGTAATAAAAGCATGTTTAGAGTCAGTGGGCTAATCGTTTTCATTCTGTTAGAGGGCAGCATGGATGTTAAAAAAGGCTCTAGAGACACCTGTCTTCCTGAAAGTGGGGAATTTGTCCTCGTTTGCTTATCAGTATTGCTGTATACATATATTGGCAGCAACCCTCTTAAAAGTCTTTTGTGTATTTTCTTCTGACAGGCTGGTTATAAGAAGAAACTGTGGAAGAAGTCAGCTGCCCAGAAGAAGCGTTTGAGAGAGCTGGTGTTGTGCACTAGAACGCAATGTAAACTCCTAGATAAAATGACCACTTCTTTCTGGAAAAGAAGAAATTGGTACGTCGATGATCCCTACCAGAAGTATCACGATCGCACGAATCTTCGTGTGTAGAAATCTTGGTTTCATTTTTACATCTCTTTAGGAAAGAGGTGGCAGTACACATGGTATGGTCTTAATTTTAGAACATAAATCTGTAACACCTGTTACTTTTCTAAATAAACATGCATATCGTCTGATCAGAATTAGGGGTTTCAATGCCCAAAATAAAGGAATATTTAAGATGATCTTGAGCTGCAATTTGTATTTTCCTTAGCAGAGGTCAAGCTGGTCACCTGCACATTCTGGTGTTTGTTGGTTTCCTGTGATTGTGTGTAACGTGGATGAATACAGTCTAAACATCACTAAAAGTGAATAATTCAACATATTACTCTTAAAAATTTTTAAAAGAAACATGCTTAAATAACCCGAGGATATATTTTGCTCTGTCCACGCTTATTGGTAGCTCACTGAATGGAGTCTCCTTGGGGAAGGGGAGAAGGGAGAGCGGGGTCTGTTTCAGTATTGGTGCCTGTTGCCGTGTCTCCATGCTAGAGAGCATAGCAGAAAAAAAAAAACCCAGTGTTTTGCGGCTATATGCATTTTTTATAACATTTAAAAATGTATTAGCCCCCAAATTTCATTACAGGACTCGCATTTGGTATCCTGTGTTGGTTTTTGAGTGGTAGAACATATTCTTTGGGTCCCACACTGCATCCTCAAGCAGTTAGTTCTGAGTATTTTCTTGGTTTTATTCTTTCTTTAAGCCTAATTATACCTCGCACTGTATCTCTGATCACGTGTATATATAGAGCAAAAACCAAGGATTTATTACAGGATCCTTTCAGAGTGTACAACACAACTCGTCTCTGGTTTCGCGAAGGGCTAGATCTGAGGCTTTCTCTACAAAGCTGATACTCCAGCAAGCGTATGAAAAGCAGGCGCTTCTAGCAGTAGCTTCAAAATGTTCACTAATAGCCCCTTAAAATATTAAGCAGGTAGTCCCTGGTTATTGGCTCCAGAGCCACCTGTATAGCAATGGATGGTTCGCTGTACAAGGCTGTAGCGTTTCAATGAATTCACTAGTTACTCAGAGTGTTCAGTAGCTGTATTTTTTTTTTCCAGTTCATAATACAGAAAGAAGTTCTGAAGGACATGCAGCACTTAGTGAATACATCTATATACAGTCAGCCAGAATTGAGATAAAAATAATACAGCAATCAAAGTAATTATTCTGGCCTGCCAGATACATTGAACAGACTAAAGAGGTTTTCTTTTTTTTTTTTTTTTTCCTTTTTTTTTTTAAAGAAAAGATTAAGACTTTATTCAAGATGTATATCAAGCAGTATAACAAAACCAGCAAAACATCAACCTTTGGAATACTGTTGTAATGGTGATCCTTGCGAGGCGTTAAGTGTACCATTTCATCACACATCTTTTCTACCGATCACAGGAAAAAAATCACATGAAGGGCACAATTACGATCCTTAAATAGTTTCTCTAAACGCAAATCCCAACGTAGTGTTCTCTGCTATTTCAAATACGGTGCTAGATGCAAAACGGGTACCCGAAACAAACGGCAAAAAGGAGACTGTGATTAACGAGCATTCGGTCACAAGTACGAGGGTTTCATCACTACGTGAGAACACATCAGAGGCAGCAGGTTGTTTACATGAGGCTAAGGAGCATCGTATCTCCCCAGACAGCTTTCTCCCTCTTGTTAGGAATAAATAACCCGATCTGCGTTCCTTCAGTGCTGGGTTTGCACTTACACAATTTAGATCAGCAGGCGATTGATTCCAAGGTGACAGCGATACGCGTGAAGCCTGTCTGGGCTATATTTGATGTGAGCCTGATTCAGCAATTGGCGACCACCGTAACTGCGCTGACGCTGGCCCCTGCGACAAGAAGGGAGGCACGGAGGGCTGCGCTGACCTGCTCAAGCTTATTCTCTACATAATTGAGGGGAATTTAGGGTAAATGGGTGAGGTAATTCACAGGCCCGTTTTCCATGGACCATCTTCAGCTGCAGTTTCCTTCCCTTCAGCCTCAACTTTACTCGCTTAAAATAACGCGCGTTTCACTTGAGCCTTGTGCTGGTTAAAGGCTGCGTTTTCTAGGGCTGGGCTGTTCCCTTTGGGGTTTCGCTCTTTGGGCCATCTCTGAGAAGTGCCTGCCTGCCCCACAGGATGGGTCGCAGAGGCCAGCTGCCCGAGAGGCCCCTATAGCTGGGCTGTTCTTACTTAAGCCAGCTCTGTTGCTATTTTACACCACTGGCTGAAAGAAAGCCTGCTTTTAGGAGGAGGCATCTGCGAGCGGTTAGCCGGCCCGCACCCTCAGAGCCCGAGGTGGGAGGAAGCTGAGGATTGCTCCCCACCAACCCACGCCTAAGAAGCCACCATCCATTCATCCATCATCCATCCATCCATCCATCCATCCATCCATCCATCCATCCATCCATCCCGGCGTCCTCTCCCTGCTCAAGTCCTGCAAACTCATTTGCCAGGAGGGGTCAGCATCAGCGCGGGAAGGCGAGGCGCTGAATCGGGCTTGTTCCTTGGCAGAGGCTCAAGAGAAAAACTGCAACAAAAGACTTCATGTCTGGTGTTTATTCTGAAGGAACGCAAGTAGCCAAGGAGTGAAATGACAGACCTGGGGCAACACCTGTAAACAACCTGTGTGTGCAAGATGAGGAATCAAAAGCAAATGACCGTTCCCTTCTGTACACAGAACGCTACAGCACGAAGTGTACGTGGTTAGGCATTCACATTTCTTGTCTATCTATACACAAATATACAGCTCGGTTGATAAATTAATACATTTTTGCCAGAGATATGAAAAGGTTTATTTTTCTCATTTGTACAGTGAATGTTTTGAGAGATATAAGGCAACTCCCTTGTCAACAATTTCACCTCAGCACTTAAGAAATGCTAAACAGTCAAGTTTACAGTAAAACAGCAGATTAGACGCACATTTACTAATTTTAGTGAGAATCAATGTTAATACAGCGTGTCCAAGAATAGAATTTGTCAGATGTTATGTAGCTCTATGTTGTTGGGGTTTTTTGGCATAATTGAGTGCAAACTTGTCAGCTTCTTTTTCATCTTATGGCAGCCCATTGCATAGCAGGGAAACATAGCTTGCTTGCAACAGGATTTTATTTTCTGCTAACACTGCAGGCAGTTTTTCTATTTCTTTTTTAATGTTTGCCAAAAGAAATCAAATAAACTCTAAAGCTGCTTAAAAATAAAACACACAAGCTTAGCTCCTCAAAGCTTTTGCTGAGCATCTTCCAAGGACTGACTCTCTTGCAACTGCTATTTAGACATGTTTGTTGGGCTTTTTTTTCAATTTACATTCTGAAGACTTTTTTCCTTCTTACCCATTGCGAAATATCATTGAATTAGCACATGTAAAGGAAATAAAATTCTCAGGTAATGAGGCCAAATACTGTGGCAGACACAGGAAATACCTGCTTGCTTTTTCCACTTCCTAGCCAGGTCAGATAAACATCTGTGTGTGCGCGTAATTTATTTCTCTCTTCCCCACGTATGTAGGAAGCTCTGGGGGAAACCTCAGGGATCCGTCAGACAGGGACAGCTGGGACATTGATGCATCCCCAGCAGAGAAAAGGTTTCAAAGGCCACTTCAGATTTATCTCTGAGCCCGATACGCTCCAGCCGGCTATTGGCATCCTGGACTGCTGCACCTGAACTAGATTAACAGTACTGTTCATCATCAAGCCCGTGTGCTGATGATCCGTTAGTGATGGCATGTCCTACGTAATGCTAAATGTTTTTCTAGCCTATGCGACAGGTCCAAGAGCAAACACAAAGGGCCACGTAATTAACTTATGTGTGAATCTCACATGCTCAACACTTACAAGAGACACCAACTTGAAGCACAAATACACAAACCCTACCACGTCTTCCTCTTCTTTTATATTTCTCATTTATATATGGATACAAATACACCGCTCCATCTGGTTCTTGTGGTTCTAGCCAAACTCCATGCTACAAGCGAAACTCCAGGCTTCAAAAAGCAGCTCAGACCCAGCGCCCTGCTCTGCTCGTGCAGGTAAAACAGCAGCACCTCACCAGGAAAGCGGAGCGCTGGGACTGACACTGGTGCAGGCAGGGGGGGAAGGTGAGTTTTCCCCTGGAAGCGCGTCACTAAAGTGATCCTAACTTCTGTCGCTGCAGCTAGTACAAGCCTGGCTTGCTCACGCTTTTAAAACTGGCAGTAGAACATTTGCTGCAAGCGATACGATCTAGTTCTGCTAGCCGCCATCGTTTTCCACACAATACTCTCCTGGCTCAGGCCGATCAAAATTAAGACTCCCCCTTCATTACGTCGTTGAAACCATTCATTTTCTCTTGCGTGTCTCTTCCTCGTCCTCTGTAAGTGGTTCTGTCTCTATGGGTTTTAGCGCAATGATTTTCTCAGAATACACGTGATTTACTTGCAGAAAGAGAAACAGAGTTGCAGCTCAGCTTTCGCTAATGAATCTTGGGAGATTTTGCGCAGTCAAAGTACTCTGACGTTTGTTACATCATTCACGGTCTTGAGGAGGAAGGGAGGAAAGAGAAATCCATGGTTTCTGCAAATCCACTTCATTAATGATAAAGCCATAAATAAATACACTGTCAATGTATCATCATGAGTAACTGATTATGTTTGTTTTCGCTGTGCATTCACAGAGCTAGAGCTATGCAGACACAAATGAGAACTGTAAATGTACAGCCTTACAGGATTAGCGTGAGTTGGCGTACACGCTGCAAACGACACAAGGACTCTCAACCTGCAGGTGCCTGCCAGACTGTCCTACCCACGTCACGGACAAACGCGAGAAGCTTGTAACAGAAGGATGCAGAGAGAGAAGAGGGAAAGGCCATGTCTACAATGCTGTACATCAAAGCACATCCATCCCACTGCTGTTTCCTACATTATGAACGAGTAGCTCTTTAAGGCAGAAGAGAGACATTCTGTGGATCTTGGTGCTATTGGCTCATTGCACTCACATTGTTTCAGTGGCAGAGGACGAGGTACTTTTCTTCCTGAAGCGAGGTCTAAGGGTCCTAGGCGGTGCCTGCAGAGAAGCAAGAGAAAACTTCAGTGGCGTAATAGGAAATGTTTTTTCTTTCCTTAAAACTCACCCATCCTTGTGGCACCTCTGTGACAATGATCCTATTCCAGGCATGAAGTCATGGAGAAGCAGATCCCGGCCCTGAAGAGCATTAATGAATGCCCAGCTGAAGACTAACCCCTTTAAGAAACCCATCGTAGTCCTTTACCCGGGTTACACCAACACCTTCCCCTCTGGCGCTTGGTTAGAAGTGTGGCTGAAGATTGCTAATAACATAACAGTCCAAGGAGACAGGACAAATTGGTGCCACTTCCAGCAGCTCTTAGATCAAGAGAGCAAACCGGTGGCAGAAAGCCAGCTCTGGTGTCTCCCAGGCCAGCCGGCACTGCCCAGCCCAGCCACGGCCCCTCTGAGGACACATCCCCTTGGGGCGTGACAAAGCTGAAGGGGTCCCCACGGTGAAACGCACTGGGCCTGCGATTCTCACAAGGCAGAGCTCTTCTTTTAAAAGACCAGCCCCTCGCTTGGGAGACAGGCCAGATGCAATCTGTCAAAATTATTTTAGAAGCCAACTATTGCAATTCTGCCTCGCAGTCAGCTGATGCAGAGAGCTTTAAAAAGGAGCCCTGAATGCCCAGGAGGAGCCAGACCAACTCCATGAAATTGGTTTACTGTGATTAACCCCGTTCTCCAGACTGAGACAGAAATTAGTTAGACAAGCAAACAAACAAAAAAAACCAAACCTAATCTGCAGTGCATACTTCTCTCAGAAGAGCTTTGGCATAGCATTGTGTCTTGCGAGCTTCACAAAAAGAAATGGTTCCCAGATGTTGCGGAGGAGCACCAATTCTCCGTGTGGAGGCCTGTCATAGCATCATGCAACACTGCAAGGCCTGGTAAGCTCTTCTACTCCATTTACATAAATATCCAAAGCTTTATTTTCTTTAACAGCATCAACCTACCTACCTGTAAGACTACGACAGGGTCTTACCATTCATAAGTGAGGACTTTGTAATTTCTATTTTATAGGACTTTCCAACCCAAGATCATGCTGTGTTTCCACATTCCTGTGATGCAGCAAGGTATAAATATTCATAAAGACAAGGAACTGCAGTGCAGCGAGGTTTTGTTTACACTCCATCTAAATCTCCATCTCTTCCAGCTTGCCCATAAACCAAGGTAGTTTTTCACAGAGATGGGATTAATCCAACACCCCACCCCATCTTCCAAGCCCAAAATTTTACCCCAAGTCCCCACTGTGAATCCCCAAAAGCACAACAGAGCTGGATGGGATGGCTGCATCCAGAAAGGCACAGCCGGAGGAGAAAAGCTGAGGAAGAAAGCTGCTGTGTACAGGAGGCAGGGATCCCACACCACCCCAGACTCCATAGCTGCTGGAGTTGCTATCCATAAAGCAGGAGCTCGGGGACACAGCCTGATGACTACAGCAGTATCTCCTGCAGCTTGGGAGAAGGCTGCTCTTTGGGAAGCCAGATGGCTCTTAAAGCAAAGCAGCCATTAACTCCACAGAGAAGACTCTGAAATCAGGAATGAATAGCTCTGCCTCCTCTGGGAGGCCACTGGACAGCTCTGAGAGCAGCTACAGAGGCTGCACCTTTCCACGGTAAGAGCAGAGCAGCCCAGCTTTTGGTGAGATACCCCAGAAGTAGGACGACCCACCACAAGGTCACACAACTGCTTGCCACACCACACTGCTCCGGCTCGCTCACACTGAGCCAAGGGGAGAGTGGAACAAGCCCAGCTCCCCCATGGTGGAGATCTCCCGGCTCGGATCTGAGAGCTGCTGGCTGTGGCTCCATCCCCCCTGCCCACATCTGGAAGGAGTCTTTGCCTACAGCATCTCCCATGGAGGTTTTATTTTCTCCACAACAAAACGTTGCTAAAATTGCTTTTGGCAAAGCACAGTGTGAGATCCGCATCTCCTTTAGTTCTTTTGTTTCCATGAAGCAACTTAAAGCATACTTGTGAATACAGCGCCTGATTCAAAAACCTATCGAAGTCATGAAGGAAGAACTTGCTGCTGTTTTCGGTGGGGTTTGGCTAGGTGCAAACTCAAGAGAGAGGGACGGGGCTCTCAACTGCGAGCGCTCTGGCTGTGGGTGCTGGCTGTTCTCACCGTAACTATCCTGCCTTGGGGGTGAGAATGTATTTTCCTCTACAGACCTGAAAAATCAACCAGCAGCCGATATCCAAATCCTCTCACCCAAATACCTCCACATTAGCACATGGTTTAGAGCTAGATACAAGTTTTGCAATTCTGATCCAACTTTGAAGTGCCTTATAACTATTATCTCCACAGGCACTAATTCAGACTTCTTTCAGGAAATCCACACATGCATAAAAATGAGCTAACCCATAGCAAGACCCACCCCTGAAAGACCAGAAATGTATTGTTTGGACTCTGTTTTTAGACCAGAGAGAGAGAGACATTCCTTCAGCTGAAGATTCAAGGAATGTCACAGAAGGAGGAGCCTTGACAATATGGAAGTACCTCAAGGGGGTGATCCTTCTTTTTGGGCCTTTTGTTCATGGATGCACAATCCAGTGAATCATTCTCTTCATCATCTGAGAACACAGAGCCTTTTGTTTCACAGTTTGCCTCAGGTGGCTTTTCATACTTATTGTCCACACCTATTTAACACAGCCATTTACAGTCTAAACGTGAAGACAAAGGATGAGGAAATCAGCAACGGTTTGATTCACACTCTGCTAAATGCCACATCACTGCAAAGCCATGCATCTTCCAGGGATTAATAGACAGAAGATTCACACACCACACTCTAGTAATAGCAGCTGTGGGGTTAGAAATCAAAAGGTTTTTGTTTATGAAGCTATTATAACTCTATTGGGATTATTTTACATAAAATTGAGACTAAATTCACAGCCTCTGATGTTCTGGAGGTTGACTCTCGAAAGATTTGGTTTTGTTTGGTTCAGGGATAAATAAAATAGCCAATTTCTTGAATCACTGATTCCATCCATAGTTCCTGAATCTACTGCTTCCAGAAGGAGTGTCCTCTAGAAGACACCAAATGAGTGTTGAAGCCCTCTGGGCCATAAGGAGAGCGAGCTGCCTGGGATGCAGAATATGAAGCATGGCAGCACTAACTGACTTGAAGCTGAGAGAGCTCAAGCCAAGCACCCAGCCCGAGACCCACTGAAGTTAACCAAAAGCTTCAACGGGCACTGAACGGACCCTCAGCAAATGGGTGTGTTGCTGCAAGACCAGAGCAGGGAAAAGTCTCTCTTCTGTCACTCTGGAGTAAATCTTATGGAGCATTAACTCCACTGATGGATCTGAAGGCAGATTATGGCCCATGACTACAGACCACTAACGCCTGCTCGGTGGTTCTTAACCTCGTAACTTATGGCAGGATCTTTGTGGGACTGGTCATGTTGCACAACACAATCCATTTCCAGCCTTAAATACCGACAGTGAAACAAGATGGTATTTTTAATGGCCAGTCCACAGCAAGAGGTACAGCAAAGAGTGACCAAGCTTTCTGCATCTCCACAGACAGTTTCTTGTCAGCAGGGCTGGAGCTTTCTTTGTTTGACTGATAGTTAAGCTTTTTTCACTCTGAACCATGTCAGGAGTGGGAGTGTTCGCTGTTTAGATGGCATTAACCACAATTACTGTCCCTATACTTAGACTGTTGTATAAACATACATAGAAATAATGCTCTGTGCTTCTTGTCTCAGCCTGACTGCAAGATTCTGCTGGACCAAAGACGAAAACCCAAAGACTACAACGAAAGAGGATTCTTAAACGTGTAATACTTATTAATCCATTTAGATCACGAAGCACAAAAGAACTGAATTCTCCAACAGCCCTTTCAGTTGGGTAACAGAGACAAAGGAGAAGTGATTTGGCTACAGCAACACAAGTCACGAGCAGGTCACTGGGGCTTCTCCAGTGCCAAATTCAAGTCAGCAGCAAAACGCTCTCAGCCCCTGCGTTCAGCCCGCAGGATGTGGCTGCTGTTCGAGAGAGCGGTGCACACCATCCCCTGGCCACTGACCCTGTGTCTCTACCCTTTTATCACCATTTGCATGGGCAGGCTGGAAGATACCATCGCAGGAAGAGCTGGAAGTCAACTTTTTCCCACCTGTACTGAAAATGCTGATATGGACGTTGCAGAGAGGTCCAGGATAATGCTGAATTGTTGGGGGGGGGCGGTTTCTATATATGACTGTGGTGTTAAGACTACACTGTGGGGAGAATTAAATGTTCTCTAGACCACATGGCAGATCAGTCCAGGAACATTTTATTTTAATTACTGTTTTATCCTTCCACTTGGGAAGTGAGATATTCAGGAGGACCCTAGCTTAGGTCATCTTGGATGTAGGAGTTGGTCCTTGTGCCTCTCTAAGACAATGAAAAATGGAGTCAAGTTTGGTTTTAATGCTGTTTGTTCAGAGCTTGAGCAAAGCCTGAACCAAACATGCCCAAATCTGCAGCCTGGGGGCTAAGTACTGCCCCAACACCAATTCATGAGTGCTCCCAGCTGCCCTCTTCCCCAGAGGTGCCTCGGATGTGGGCTGCAGGCTGGCCCAACAACACACCCCCAGCCACGGGCTGCTGCGAGGAGACAACGGCTTTACCCAAGAAAAAGAGGACTTCAAAGGGGACAGGATGGAGGGATGTTGGAGAACCAGAATTAGAGCATTCAGTGATCAGACTGCAGAGATGCTGGCTGCTGAAGCTGAGAGCATACAGGATTAGGCGAATGTGCCCTGCTCCCTTTCTCCTACAGCCAGCCACTCCGCTGCAAAAGGACACAGAAGGAACCGTCAGCCCTGATAACATTCCTGGGAATCCCATGCTTTTCTAGCGCACGTTGCTTTCTCTGGTGTTATTCTCTCTCCTGAATTGGGTGCTGGGCTAAAGATATCCAGGCAGCTCTGTCACCTGCATTGCCCATCTCCGTGACAGGCTGTCCTGGTTTCAGCTGGGATAGAGTTAATTTTCTTCCTAGTAGCTGGCATAGTGCTGTGGTTTGGATTTAGTATGAGAATAAAGTGATAACACACTGATGTTCTAGTTGTTGCTCAGTACTGCTTACACTAGTCAAGGACTTTTCAGCTTCCCATGCTCTGCCAGGTGCACAAGAAGCTGGGAGGGGGCACAGCCAGGACACTGACCCAAACTGGCCCAAGGGCTATTCCATACCATACGGCATCATGCTCAGTATAGAAACTGGGGGAGTTGGCTGGGGAGCAGCGATCGCTGCTTGGGGACTGGCTGGGTGTTGGTCGGTGGGTGGTGAGCAATTGCATTGTGCATCACTTGCTTTGTATATTCTTTTATCATTATTATTATCATTATTACTTTCTCTTCCTCTGCTGTCCTATCAAACTGCCTTTATCTCAGCCCATGGGTTTTACTTTTTTTCCCCGATTCTCTCCCCCACCCCACTGCGGGGGGAGGGTGAGCGAGCGGCCGTGCGGTGCTTCGCTGCTGACGGGGGTTAAACCACGACACTGGCACAGCAGAGGCCCAGCCTCCTGCAGGCTCTTCCATTCTCCCCATCAGCCTGAGCATCATACCCATGTCCTGGAGCTGCTTCCATGAAGATCAAGAGGAGAGCTCAGCCTCCAAGGTGGCACATACTGCTTCAACCCCCGCAGCAGAGAGGTCTGTAAAGTCCACTGGAAGTCGGGCTGAGGCCCTCTTCTCCCCTGCTCCATCTCATTGTGAATGAGCACTGAAAGCCTGCCAAATGAGGACCAGTTTTGCTTCAGCCTCACTGAACTGGAAAAGGCAAGAAGCGGGTCTACCCCAGGCCTTTCCACTACAATTCTGACCATTGCCGAGAGCAGATTTTGAATACACAGCGCCCTTTTTTTAAGACCTGGAGCAAGAAGGGAGGATTCCCTGCCTATCCTGGCTTGGGAAGGACATCTCTGTTGTGGGCAATCCCAACCTCGTATTGATCTGGGGTGCCAGACTTTGTCCCACGTTTGTGGAAGCATTACGCTCTTGTGGGACTGGAGGCAACTCATCTCCAAAGGGCTGCTGCTGCGCGACTGCCAACTCTGAAGTTGGGTTTTTTTGTGAATAGAGTGATGACAGAGTGAAAAGCTAATTTTCCTACAGAGTCCTCTGCAGGAGAAAATGTAAAGCAGGGGATTAACCAGAATAATAAGCACACATGTGAGGAATTAGTGAGAAAGGAGATGAAGGCTTAAAGTGAGTGGATGGGTTCTGGGACACCAAGGTTTGTTTCTGGAGAAGGTGAAGACTGAGGAGCAAAACATGTCAGGGCTGGCACAGGCTTCTCAGGACAGCACTTGCCCTCGGGTGACCTCCTGTGTGTTTCTAAGAGCCGTCCTTAGGATGGGAGGCTGGGGGGGCCTCAGGCCATTATCAGATGTCCCCGAAGTGGCAGAGCCAGCAGCGTGTGCTGAGCCAGCAGCGTGTGCTGCTCCAGGGAAGCAGCTGGCAGCCCCAGGGCCCCTGTCCCAGCCAGGAGGTGGCTGCGTAAAAGCATGGACCGTACGCCAGACGTCTCCCCGGCTCTCTCATCTTTGGGAGACTCTCACTCCCCATCTCGGAGCAGCCTGTGTTTCGGGTGTCTCCAACTCTTACATTTACGGCTCCACACCTTTGCGTGGAGGGGCAGAATCGCTGCAGAATCGGGAAATCGGCTGGTGTGCCAGGGCTAAAGCTGCTGCTGCCTCTTGCAAACGTCTTTTCAGTACCCAGACCAGACTACACTCCTCTCTTCACTAAGGCAAGACAGAATCTGACTGTAAACAGCCTGAGGAAAGGGACCCCTTAATTCCAGTTCCTATCATGCTATCCTAATTCCTTCAAAGGGAACCGATACAACTAGCACGTTGTGTGGGAAGCCCTGAAGCTGGGCATATTCCAAGTTAAAGTAGACAGGGTTGGGATCTAAGCTATTAAATGCACCACAGGGAACAACCCAGCACAGACAAGGGAATCATCTCTGTGATTCTACATGGGCTAAAAAATCTCACTTGCAAAACTCTTTCTAGAGCAACAAATGGGATTCAGTAGCAGGGTGTTTTTTCAGCAATTGCTTTGATTTAGGCCCTGATCTACGCTGTTGTTTAAATCCAGAGTATCTCCTATGGATTTTCACGAGTACAACAGAGGTCAGGGCCTGGCCCACTCTAATTACAGAGAAGCAATGGGACTTTGATCTAGATCCTCTGACAAATCTGGACACTTAAATAGAGTTACAGTGGGAATCAGGCACCCCAATACCTTTGAAAGAAGCTGGACCCCCCTTATTTTCCCAGGAAATACTTCTTTCTCCTGTCACTGTAATTCTTTGGGAGCAATGGGGAAAAACACCGTCAGAGACTACACGAACCAGGAGCAAGGTATTGTATTACTGTAATGGAAGATAAAGTCACTCCAGAGCTAAGCCTTTCCAGGGGATAATTCATATAAGGAGGTTTGCACACCACTTAATAAGAGCAAGAGAGCAGGTATTTATTATACGATGGTGATCAGCTTCTTTTCCCTGCAACAAAGACAAATTTGCCATCATTTCCGAAAGACATTGACCCAAGTCATGTACTTCCCCAACAGTTTTCACTGCCAAAGCAAGAAGTTAGCAGCAGCCAACTCCACCAGCACTCACTGCCCAGGAGCCACAAAACAGAGGCAGACACCCTTTCCAAAGCTGAAGTGCAACCAAAGCAAACAAGTCTAATCACATCAACAAAGTCATCCATTAATGAAAACACATCCCACAAATGATTAAGTTGTTAAGTGCTAGTCTATTCCAAACACCTCAGAAGAAAACTCATGCAATCTGTAACACTTACATCAGAGTCCCATAATATTTACATAGAGAAAAGGAAAGAATAAACTGTTAGGGGAAAACATTTGGGTGTAGAGGGGGAAGGAACATTGTTTCAGAGCACAGAAATCTTCATCTTCACTTTCATATCTGTGGTTCAACTGGAGTTTATTAAACAACAATGAATGTTTTAACTTTCTGTTGCTAAAATGCAACTGTACTTAAACAGCCTACCGATTTTCTATGAAAATTTTTCCTCCCCTGAAATAACCAAAATAACTATGAAAGTATTTTAAAATACCCCAAGAAACTCGCAAATTGCCATTCAGAGGTAGTGTTGTGAAGTGATGCAGATCATCCTGTAAAAATTTCATTCAACATTTAGTAAAGGGAAGTTTTAAGGAACAAAATGCCTAGAGCAACGGAGGGTTGTCACTTGTTCTTTAAGCTCAATGAGAGAAAGGTTAAAAAAACCAATCAGTAAATCCTCAGCACGAGCTGGAAGCAAAACTGGCTAAGAACAAAAATGAAACCACCTACATCATTTAATTGAATTAGGTCAGAGATATATGAACGGCCCCCTTGATGCAAAGTCAAGTAGTTTTTTAAGTTTTTTAACTTTCCGCTGTAATAATCTAATCTGCAATTTGCAGCATACCACAAAGAAGGGGTTGGATACATCCAATATACCAATAAGGTGATTCATTTAAAGCACAATTAAGTGAATGTGCCATTAAGGTCCTCGCTGGGCTGTACTGCTGATTGTGTGTGACCTGTCACCTTGTCTTCAGAGTGACAACCACATGTAGGAAGAGATCCAACATTATTTTATTGGAAAAACTCCAGGAGCTGGCTTTATGCTGCAACACCTTGTGGATGGCTGACTGAACTTGTTGGCTAGGCTGACCATCAGTCACTGCTGAGCTGTATTTTTTCAGGTGTACATTACTCTATCCGTCACCACTATGGAGCACAACCCTGCGCTGCACACTCAAAACCCAGTCCCATTCATCACTACTGTCCTTGCAGCACATTTCTTACATTGCCTAAGGCTCCTGATCAGCATTTCAGTGTTAAATGCCCCCTCAAATACATGCAGCCACAACAGTTCTCCTGATGCACAGCTGATTCTTCAGTATCTGCTAGGTAGATTTATTCTCTGCAAGGATTAAAATTGTTCCTCCCTCTCAATCATGCCACAGCACCTAAAAGACATTAGTTGAGAGAATACCACCATACATAGTATTTGTTACTTCTTAAATGCCAGTTCCAAGCAAGCTTGTTTAACGCATTAAGCATTTACCAGGCACTGCCAAAAGACAAACACATCCCCGGAGATTTTCACTCTGTCCTTCCTGAAGGGGAAAAAGAGCTCTTACGTAATTGTACCATCGTTCTTTAATGCTGTGGCCCGACTTTCCACAGGCCGTGAACACAGAAGCGATAAATCAGAAACTTGTGTAAAGACCTGAAAGGAGTTTTGCCAGCAAAGGCCTGCCACTGAACAAGAGCAAGAAGAGCTGACACAGAAGCTGTCAAGAAGACACGCTGGAGTATATATAGTGGAACACGCTTGTATTTAGTGAAGCTGCCCACAGCAAAGGAGGATGAATGTCCTGAATTGTGTCAACGCTTCGTCATGTGCAGACCATGAGGCCAGCTGGAGTGAGCCAGCTGGGCAAAGAGCTCTTCTGCGAAGCAAACAGCTTCAGCGGCAGAGGAGCCCACCACCGCCGACACCGATGGATCTGCTCCTGTACGGGCTGCGCTCACGCTGCGCTCAGCCTGGTCTCCAGTCTCTGCATAAATGCACACGCCATGGCACCTGCAGGCCACATCCTCACGAAACCTTCTCCCAGGATGTCATCTAGGGAGCAGGATGGGCCGACTTTTGCTCCCGCCAGCCTGTGCTCTCCTAAGAGCTGTGGGGGTTTCTGCAAGTCAGCCAGAGAGAGAAATAATCGAGTTTCACCTGCAAGAGCATTAAGGCAACTGCTCCTGCCAAAAAGGCTGCATCATGGCTCTAAACCAGCCTTTAATACTCCTGCTTGAGGTAAGGCTTGACTGTCTGCCCATTTTGATTATAAACTCTTTGGAAATTAGCACTGTTAACGATTGTACTCTGAAACTGGCTACACAAAAGTTTGCACCATGGAAAGATAAGTGCCAATAGTTCGGGACAACTTAGTCCCAGCTAAACAAACTTAGCTTCTTTCTTCTCCCTGCTTTTTGTGGTGTTCAGAAAATGTGTTCACATTACGTAGTCTGCTCTCTAAGCTACCAAAGCTGCACTTACAAAAGAGCATTTTAAACGGCAGGCTGTTGTCTGAGAGTGCATTAATGCATCTATTGCCTTGGAGACAGAGAAAGGGCAGCCTGTGGAGACAGAATGAACCCTCTATGAGATAGAGCCTCAGCATATCCCTATTGACATGGTCCAAGGGACTGAATTATGTCAGGGGGGAGGAAATAGTAAGACAAGCCAATCTGAAAGACAGGGCAGGCAATTTAAACCAGATCAACATGACTTTGGGCCCAATTTGTAAACATATTTGACTGATTAATGCTTTAGCATCATTAAATGACTTTCCTAAGATTAATTCATGTCTATTAAGCACTTAAGGATTCAGTGATTCTTTTTATAAATAACACTTTGAAGTCAAATCCATAAAATCGGTTTAGGCTAAAATTAGACGGGTGCTAACAAAATGCACTGTGAATACAAGTGTTTCATGATTGCTTAAACAGACATCACCTTAAACAGGCTTCATTCTCCTGCACATGGCACACACTCCAAAGGTGCTAGTGCAAAGAACCGGAAAGGACAACAGGGAGGGGGACAAAGTAAATACGAGGGTTGGTTTGGCACCTACGCAGCGTGCAAGGAGACAGTGTCAGGCTGAGATCACCAGCCTCCAAACATTACTGCTGCACAGGGCTGCACGGCACATCAGGTGCAAGGCGGTGGGAACGCACACCCTGCTCTGGAAGTGCCGTGAGCCAGCAGCGATGGCTGCAGCACGGTGGCAGCACTGCGGTCCTTTGGTCCCCCTGCTGCCATCCCCAGGTTGATTACAGTGTGCAAAATAAACAAAAAGCACATGAGATGAGAAGTAATGGAGTTACGAAGGGCTTTTGTTTCCACCAACACGAGATGTTGCCAGTCTGGATTTCTTCCTTCTCCCTAGACAAGCTGCTTGGCAGCCCCGTCCTCTGGCATGCCCAAACCAGAGGCCTCCCCCTCCTTTCATCTGCCACTGGGACAAAATGCGCAAGTGACACGGCTCGGCTCTTAGCAACCGAGGCAACTGGCACAGTGTCCTGGTTTCAGCTGGGATAGAGTTAATTTTTTTTTCCTGGTAGCTGGCATAGTGCTGTGGTTCGGATTTAGTATGAGAATAATGTTGATAACACACTGATGTTTTCGTTGTTGCTAAGTAGTGTTGACTCTAGTCAAGGACTTTTCAGCTTCCCATGCCCTGCCAGCGAGAAGCTGGGAGGGGGCACAGCCAGGACACTGACCCAAACTGACCCAAGGGCTATTCCGTACCATACGGCGTCATGCTCAGTATGGAAACTGGGGGAGTTGGCTGGGGAGCAGCGATCGCTGCTTGGGGACGGGCTGGGCATCGATCAGTGGGTGGTGAGCAATTGCACTGTCCATCACTTGCTTCGTATATCATTATTATTATTATTATTTTCCCTTCCTTTTCTGTCCTATTAAACTGTCGTTACCTCAACACACGGATTTTTTTTTTTTCCCCAATTTTCTCCCCATCACACTGGGGGTCGGGGAGTGAGTGAGCGACTGTGTGGTGCTTAGCTGCCTGCCGTGTTAAACCGCAACACAGAGCTGCCCACCGGCAGCTAAACCATTCACTACACTCCTGAGTTTGTAAACACAAGAAACAGTAGGGACAGCAAGACATTTTTCAAAAATGGCTCTAGCACAGACTGAAGCAGGGAGAGTCTGTTCAACCCTATTTCATCATACCAGGGTCTGCTACTGGGCTTTGTAATTTGCCCTGCTCATCCCAAACACAAGTGTTGTCTCCACCAACAGAGAAGCACGTGCCAATCCTTAGGGAACCGAGCAAAACAGGGCTGGGACTGAGGAAGGTTTGCTCTTGCTGGTTTCCCTGCGGTTTTACACTAGCACT